GTCACTTCTTTGGAAATACATAAAATTAATTATTACAGTAGTTAGGATGTCAACCGACTGAAGAACTGCAACATGTAGATTGTAAGTCCCATGTGAAGTGCAAATTAAAAATCTCTTTGACTCAATGTTTTAAACTTCAGTTTTGGTGTAAACTTTGACCATGTAGAAATAGAATTAATTCATGGAAGTCCATAGAGAGATTGTAATATTGCTGAAACTATGAAAACACTATGAACATTGGAATTCTACGACAAATCTTTAAGAAAACAAAATAAATGTCAATACTTCATGTCATTTGAGATTTTCAAATATTTTTGTTTTAGTTTGGTTAGCTTCTAGAGAGAACATATTCATTTCTTATTATTTTTCATGATAATTCCATTCTTCTTCTATTATGCTTTTCAGAGTTTTTTTTTTTTTTTGAAAAAGGTAAGGTAATTTTATTAAGAATATAGAGAAAAATACAAATAGGCCCCCGGAAAGAAGGCAGGCCCAAGAACCAGATAACATTACAGCTCAAAGAGATTTCTAGAATTCAGCTGGGCTCCAATCTCCCTAGTTTGGGAACCATTTACAGAAGCAGTCCAAGACACCACTTTTCCAAAGGAATTAGAAATGAGGCTGTCTATTCTTTTGGCCTTGTTGTTCTGGAAAACTCTGATGTTTCTCTCCTCCCAGATGGTACTAATCACTGCTGCAGGAATTGATCTCCAAACACTTTTGGCCAATTTGGAAAGCCTTAAACAGTCCCAGCACCACATCAGACCCAACGGACTTTGGCATGACCCAGGGCACTCCTACCGAGGAAAAGTAGTGATTCCATAAAGACATTGAATCAGAGCAGTGGAGGAACAAGTGATTGTTATCCTCTTCCTGTTGACCACATAACATACAACTCAGGTCTTGAATCTGCATTCCTCTCCTCAACAGGCTTTTCTTGGTGAGACACCTATCCAGGGTAGCAGCCCAAACAAGGGCTAGGGCATTTACTTTGGTAGGAGCAGTCGCATTCCAAATAATAGCAGCTGGAAAAAGAGGTCTGTTATCTCCTTCCAAAACTTTGGCAAAGGACCTCACAGAAAAGAAACCATCTGCACTCTAGATCCAGCTCCATCTGTCATCTTCCAACAGGTTTATGGTCTGAGTTGATAGCAGCTCAAATAACTCCCTTACTTGATTAATTTCCCAATCCTGAAAGTTTCTTCTAAGTGAGGGGCTCCAAGTGATGGAATTGTTTGAGACTTCATAACACTCAACCACCAAAGCATCTTGGTTATCAGCCAGGCAAAATAACTGAGGAGACAACTGCACCAAAGGCCTTTCTACACACCAATTATCTTTCCAGAAATTTAAGTTCTAACCATTTCCCACATTCTGAACCAGACCTCTATTCAGCAGTGGGTACAAATCCATGATCTTCTTCCACAGAGAGCACCCTAGGGAGTTACCACTAGGACTGGTTGTCCAATCACTTTTGTCTGTTTCATATTTAGCTTCTATCAGCCTCCTCCACCAACTCTCCCTTTCTGTCCCAAACCTTCAGATCCATTTTCCAAGGAGCGCTTCATTAAATATCTTCAGTTTTCTAATCCCTAGACCCCCTTTTCCTTTGGGAGAACAAATTTGATCCCAACTGACCAAGTGCATTCTTTTTTCCTCATCCCAACCTTTCCATAAGAATCTTTCTGGATCTTTTCCAGCTTATTGGCTACCTTTAATGGAATAGGGAAGAGAGAAAGAAAATAAGAGGGCAGGTTTGAGAGAGAGCTTTTGAGGAGAGTGATCTTGCCTCCCAAAGTTAAATATTTGGATTTCCAAGAAGCTAGTTTTCTTTATTCATCAAAAAAAAAAAAAAGAAGCTAGTTTTCTTTCCAACCTTTCAACCCCAAATCAAAGAAGTACACTTGGCTCCTAAAGGGAAGCTGAGGTATATGGTAGGCAAAAAACCAATCTGACAGGTCAGGACCTCAGCTAGAGAATCAAGATCCTCAATCATTTCCACTGGAATTAGTCTACTCTTAGACCAATTTACTTTTAGCCCTGTTACCACTTCAAACCAGCTTAAGACCCCTAATAAAATTCCAAGTTGATCTAATTCAGCATCAATGAAGCAAAGTGTGTCATCTGCAAACTGGAGCAGCTAGACTTTCTGCCCCGCTAGACAAGCTTCAAAACCTTTCCACAAGTCCAATTCACCCACTTTATTTGTAAACATAGTTAAGATTTCCATCACACAGATAAACAAAAGTGGTGAAAGGGGGTCCCCTTGTCTAAGGCCTTTGGAATTTTTGAAGAAACATGCTGATTGATCATTCACTAAAACTGAAAATTTTGGAGAGGTGATGCATACCTTCATCCAATTTCTCCATTTCTGACCAAAGTTCATGCTCTCCAAGACAAAGTCCAACCCTTCCACTTCGCATGGTTGTAGGCTTTTTCCAAAGTCTAGTTTACAAAGCAACCCCGGCCTGCCCTCCCTCTTCCTTGAGTCTATCAGTTCATTGGCAACCTGAACACTATCTAGCATTTGCCTGTCAGGCACAAATGCAAACTGGTTTTTTGAAATTACTGAGTCAAGAACTTTCTTAAGTCTTTCAGCTAGGACCTTGGCCAAGATCTTGTAGCAGCTGTTCAGTAAACTAATTGGCCGAAAGTCATTAATTTTTGTTGCTCCCTCTACATTGGGAATTAGAGAGATGAAGGTTGCATTCAGACTTCTCTCCAGGGCAGCATTGTGATGAAAATCCTGAAAAACCTTCATCAAATCACCATTTACCACCTCCTAGCACTTCTTGTAGAATAAGCTTGTTAAGCTGTCTGGCCTTGGAGATTTGTTGACTTCCATATTTTTAATCACTCGCCACACTTCCTCCTCTGAGAAAGGGGCTTCTAGTTCCCTTTGTTGTGCCTCTAAAAGTCTTTTAAAAGTCCAGATTGCTTGGAAAAGGTCTTCTTTTCCAGTCTTCTTTAAACATGTCTAAAAAGTACCTTGTGGCAATTCTTTTCATGTCTGTCCAAGTTTCTCCCACCTCCCCATCTAATTCCAATCTCTCCAACTGATTGGATCTTTGCCTTGCATTTGCCATCTTGTGGAATTAGCTAGAGTTTCTATCCCCCTCTTTTAGCCACTTTACTTATCTCTTTGCCTCCATTTCAGCTCATCTTTATAGGCTAGTTTATCTAACTTCAGTTTAGCTTCTGCCCTCTTTTTTCTATCCCCTTCTGACAAAGGACCCCCCTCTTCCACTAAATCCACTTCCTTGATAGTTTCTAAACACAACCTCTTTTCAAGTTCCGTCTCATTTTTGGAATTCTGTTTCCATAATTTTAGAAAATCTTTAATGAGGCTGAGTTTTTTTTTTTTTACAAAAATGAAAGAGCTTGTTCCTTCAATTTGAATTTCTGACCACTTGGATGTAAGAAAATGGACCAGCTCCTCTTCTTCAAACCAGGCATTTTCAAGCTTGAAAGGAGCTTTCCTTGTCTTTTAAAATCCACACACCAGATGAATAGGAGAGTGATCAGAAACTGGCCTAGGAAGGGCAACCTGTTTTAGATTTTTACAAGCCGCCTCCCATCCAAAAGAGATAAAAAAACTGTCCAACTTTTCCAGAACTGGATTCTCCTGATTGTTTGTTGAAGTAAATTGAGCCCCTACAAGCGGTAGATCAACAAGTTCAAATTGATTGACAAATCTGCAAATTTCCTCATGTCCCTTGACCTACGGGTTCCTCCCTTCTTATCCTCCAAAAATCTCACCACGTTAAAGTCCCCTCCAATCACCCATGGTAAAGAAGATCCCCCTTTGGTTGTTGACAGGTTCTCCCACAATCTCGTTTTCTTTAAGTTCACAGTTGGACCATAGACATTAGTAAACTGACCCTGAAAGCCCCCCTCAAACTCCAACACCACCAAGAGTGAGAAATCCCCAACCTGAAATGAAACCAGTTTGCATTTTAAAGGATTCAAAAGGATTAACAGGCCCCCTGCAGGCCCTCTGGCTGGTTTAGACACCCACCTCACTTTACCCTGACCCCACACACTTCCGATTATACTTGTGTCAACCACCTCCAGTTTTGTTTCCTGAAAGAACACTATATCTGACTCCCATCTTCTGATCAAGTTGCAGATCACCAGCCGCCTCCTACCAGACCCCAGATCCATCTCAAAACAAAAACGGAAGACCCCCGGCCCCTGACCCTTACAGCTTTTTTCCCCCTTCACCCCTGGACGACCCCTCCCCCTTGAACTTGCTAGTGGGGTTACTTCCTCTGCTTCCTCTGAAAATGTGGCCACCTCGATCACCCACTCTCCACTTCTTTCCCCACCTTGATGCTGCAAAACTTCTGTCTTCGACAAGTTTCCCCTGGGTTGTGTGACAGAGAAGAGGCCTCTCTAGATTATGTGTCTTGGCTCTCCTTCCTCTGGTCTTTTCAGAGTTTTACTCATGTTTAACCCAAATATTTTTATCTTATCAGTGTAATATATTTTAATTGTAATAATTAAAGGGGACTGATTTGGGCACATTCTGTTTTTGATAATCTGGGCATATCCCTAGTAAACAACAAAGAAATCATTGTTTTAACTTTTATGATTAAATTAAAAAAAAACATGGGATACCTCTCTCTTTTCATACATGTACTTCTTGTCTGAGTTGTCTCGTAATTAAGGGTGTGCCCTTTTATCAAAATGGATCCCCATTAATTAAAACTTACTGAACTTGACCAGAAGTTAACTAATCAAAAAGTTCTAACCAGAAGTTATGGAAGTAAAAGCATTTGAGTGGACTTGGTTTATTATGGTAAAAGTTTAAAACCATGCTTTGGTCATTTCGGCAAAAGCTAGTCGTGCATAATAACCTTTGAAATTTCACCTGCCTTTCCTTGTCGAAACTTTTATTTGCTGCTTCAACAGGAAAATTCCATGGAGAACAGCAAAATACTTTTTCTGTAGTTTGATATTTTTCTTTGACAATCTAATTTTATTGAATTTGGGTGCAGCCGAATACCTGGTCACTGGGTTCAGCCACCACCTCCTGCAAATGAAATATGGGCATCCTATTTGATAGGACCTAAATGATGTCTGATCAGAGGAACCGTCTAGGTAGTAGATATTAGAGTTTCTTATTTCTTGTATGCTTATAACATAATATTTCAAAATTTCAATCAGATCAGTCTTCCTTAAATGGTGTTTGACAATTGACCACTATTATCAGGCCTTCCCTCCCAAATAATTTTGGTCTTGATGAATTGATGGTATTCATCATTATTAATCAGAGGATAGCATGTCTTACAGAAGAAGAGGATATTAGGCTGCATTTGGCATTCCTTCTTTTAAGGGCATATCTCCTTTTTGCAGTTAAGAACTCAGTGTTCATAGGGGCATTTTGACTGCAAAAAGGAGATAAAGTCCTTAAAATAAGGAATGGCAAATGCAGCCTTAGTGTGAGGGTAGAGTCGACTATTGAGGAATCCTCAACAGTGACCTCTGCAAGCAACCACTACTAACACTGTACCACCAAGAGGTACTTAGTTCAGCCATGGGATTATCAATTGGAGTTGCTTAGCAAATTTATCTTTCATTGATTGATCAATACCCACTTTCATGACTCTGGTTGATTATGATTGGTTTGGACTACGACTATAGCCCAATAGTCTAGGTGCCTGTCTGTTTATGAGAGCTTTCAGATAGCAGCTTTTGGCTTTGTGAGTGGGGCTCTACCAAAACAGCCCATAAACTGTGGTGCCGTTTGACAAGTTTTTTTTAGAAAGATCTTTCAACAGTCTAGATGGCCAAAAGACGCTGAGCTTTTGGGGCCTTGTCTCTAAAGACAAAGACCGTTTGGTAAGTGGCTTGGTCTATCGTGCTTTTAAAAATACGTTTAGAGGCTATCTATCATGCAGAAAGACCAGAAAGCTTCTTAAAATTTGGCGTTTTTTATCTTTTTGGGTCTTTTTGCACATGCGTCTTTTCATCTTTCCAGCTTTTAGTTATCAAACAGAAAAGACTGATTTTTGGCCTTTGGAGCTTACTGAAGCCCAGAAGACCATGCAGAAAGACTTGTCAAATGCTGCCTATGTTTGGTGAAAACCCTAAAGTCTCAAAATAGCTGTCTTTCATCCAGAAATGGGCTTTTCACTGAAGCCTTGTTTGGTGGCTTCTCCAAAGTAGCTTATTGAACAAAGGTCAATCAAAGTTTCAGCCCCTACCAAAGTAGCTTATTGAACAGAGCCTCGTTTGGGTTTGGTGGCTTCATCAAGAATTGGGCTTTTCACTGAAGCCTATAGAGCTTTGGGCCCATCGAGGCTCTTGTAAGCAAGGTTCAAAGTATCGGAAACGCTATGTGTATCGGAATGGCAAATTTAAGAGACATTGGGATATGCCTTGGATACGTATGGATACGGACAAAAAATTAAGATACGCATGAAAACACATGGAAATGCTATAAATACTCTTATAAATCATAAATAAACATCAATATCATTAAATATAAGACTTAAATGAGCTATTTATAAATAAAAATCACGTTTTTAATGGGTTTTTATAAAAAAATTATATTATAATCAACAAACGGGAACAAAAACATACTAGTTAATAAAATACTTAATTTAGTTCCAATATTCCAAGTTTCAATTTTAAATTTTAAATCTATTATAATTTACAAATTCAACATTTGAATCCCATTATGATGTTTAAAAGTTAAAACTTTACATGAAGTCATGAATCACATAAAAGTTCAATTATTATATAAATTAACCAATTTTAAGTGTTAATGTGTTAGTAAATTAATTTTCAATTGTTATTATGGAAATTTTTATTTTTTAAAATATTTTTTCAATTATTATCTAATACAAATATCCAATTAAACAAATAATAACTGTTTTCATATTTTTGAGGCCACAATTACATTCACATTTAAATTATAAATTATCATGTGAAATATATCAATGCCTTTTATTTTGTATTTTTTAAAAATTTGTAAATATTACTATAAAATCTTTTTAATTGTTTTAAACATTTTTCCAAGTGTTATCTAATCCATTTAAGCAATTAACAATCATTGAATAAAATAATTATGTAAATTTTGTAATTATTGAATCAAACATTTTTTTTTGTATTTTTAAATAGTTATTTATTTTTACTCAAATAATTATTTTGCATGTTTTATTCTAAAAATTAAACAAATATATTTTTGAATGGCTTCATGGACATCTATTATTTTTATTCTAAAATTAATAATTATTTTGCATGTTTTATTCTAAAAACTAAATAATTATTTTCATGTTTTAGTCTAAAAATTAAATTAAAATAAAAAAGTAAATATGTAACAGAAAATTTGAATGAATTTATGGACATAATAGATGAAATACTTATTTTTGCATATTTCATTCTAAAAACTAAATAATTATTTATTTTTATTGAAATAATTATTTTGCATGTTTTATTCTAAAAAATAAACTAAAATTTAAAAAGTAAATCTGTAACAGAAAAATTGAATGGGTTTATGAATATAATAGATCATCCATATATTTATTGTGAATATTTATTATTAGAATTTATCATAGCAAAAAATTAGAAAAATAAATAAATATTTATAATCTAAAAATAAAAAAAATCTAAATTTTTCATATGATATTTCAATATATTGATGCCATTCTTATCTCTACAACATACTCAACCTATAGGGTTAGATCACAAAAAAACTGAAGAAATTATCTATATATTATATATTATTCTAAAAATAAAAAAATAAAAAATCAATTATTTAGAAGAAATTTAAATTGATCTATGGACATGATAGATCATCCATATATTATCTATATATTATCTATATATTATATATTATTGGATCTTGGAAATTTGTGGATGTTTTGATGGGTTTTGGCTAGATTTCAATCTCTAATAATGGTATGAAGGTTTCTAGAGAGTTTTGGGAAGAAAGAGGGCTTCTAAAATGGGTTTAGAAGCCCTCTTTCGAATGAAGTTTTTTTTTTTGGTTTTCCACAATAGTAAAATCGCACTGTATCGGCCAATACGCAACTGATACGATAGCGTATCGGCCAATACAGAACCGAAATAGGCCTATACTCACCGAAATGTTACCGATACGGACACAATATGTTTCTAGAACGGCGAAAAGGAACGGTACTAAAGATTTGGTACCGTTCCCCGTGCCAAAACCTCAAAGATACGATATGTATCGGTCGATACGTTACGAAATTTTGAACCTTGCTTGTATGTGAAGAAATAAAAGAACTAGTGAACAATGTATCACCAAAATTGCCTCAAACTCGGTAAATTTGCTTACAAGTAACAAAACTTATGAATATATCACCATTATTACCTCAAACCTCTGTAAATTTGGTGATTATTTTCATTTTGCTTGGAAACTCTTAGGCCTAGGTTATGTGTTTAGGCCAGGCCCAGGCCCAGTCAAGGTTTGAAATTTTGATAAGTATTGGATTGTATCAGTCGATATATATCATATCAGGGGCTTCCTGATGCATCCCTACAAGGGGAGTTTTGGGGTTTAACCCGGTTCAGGGGGTAGACAAGTCGTATCGATATTTTGAACCTTAGGCTCAACCAATATCAGGTTTTTAAAATTATTTATATCATCTATATTATATCAAGCAAATACTTTTCTTTGATTTAATGCAAGTCATAAAAGTTAAATTTGATTATATAATAACTTATATTTTGTCCTTGCACAAGTACTTAGAATGTGCCTATACACTAATATAAATTAAATATATATATATGTATTATGTGTCACTTTATTTTATATTTAATATGCTATATATAAATATATACTACTTTAAAAAGCACGAATAGCCTCAAGAATATTTTTGGAATTTTCTATGGACAATATGCACCCCTTCATATTTAAATTTATTAATAAAAAATGAAGGCAAATAGGGTAAATGGTTATTGGTAGTTTGATATTAAATGAGTTGAAAAAAGGTAAGTTTAAGATATTCAATGCATTCAATTCCCTCTCATTAAATCCAAGCATCCAACATTTAATGTATTAACTTGCACTCACCTTCATTGAATCATATGCTTAAGGCATTTTTGTTTCTTCTCATCATTAAATTCTATTAATTAAATCCATACATAATAAATTAATAATTCCAATAACATAAAAATTTGTTCTTTTAAATCTACTTAAAAAAAGTGTTTTCATCTTGGTGATAGTAAAAAGTTAAACCATTTTTTGTCAGATGGGACAATCCATGTTGCCACAATTAAATAATAAAATGAAAAAAATATATAGAAATTTAAAAATTTGAGAACTTTTTTAACATCATATATTTGACATATTAAACAATAATAAGTATGATAAAAAAGAAATGTTTTTATTAATGATGGAAATATAATGTAAAATTTAAACCAATTGGAAATAAAACTATTTTCTTATTCTCTCTTATTAAATATAATATCTTAGGTATATTCTCTCATTAAATCCTATATTTAAGATATATTTTTCTCATCATTAAATTCTACTAATTAAATCCACAATATTAATTTTAATAGTATAAAAATAAATATTTTGAAAAGTAATTTGAACACAAAACCATTTTCTTCCCTTTCGATGGTGGATAAGAAATTCAACCATTTGAGGTCAAATGAGTTAATAAATAATGTCATAATTAAATAATGAAAAATTAAAAAAAAGAATTGGGCATATCTCTAATATTGTATATTCATTAAAACAAATAAGTATGAAACGTAAGAAGTATTTTTATTAATGATGAAAATGGAATGAAAAATTTAAAATCAACATAGAAATGAAATGATGTTATAGTCAAATAATAATGGTTTTAAAAATAGAAAATAAAGAATCACAAAAATAGAAAATAGAAAAAATTTGGGCACATATCTATTGTTATATATTTATAAAAAATAAAATATTGGGTACATCACTAATATTGTACATTCATTATATTGAATAAAAATAATTATTATACATAAGAAATAACTTTATCAATGCAAGAAATGTAATACAAAATTTAATGTCAACCTAGAAATCAAACTATATTCCTTTCTAGGTGGTGGGTTAGTGGTTTGGGTCAAGTGGATTAATCGATGATATGATAGTTAAATAAAAAATCTTTAAAAAATAAAAAAATACAAGTAATCAAAAAAATATTTAAAAAGTTATATATTAATTATGTCAAATAAAAATTAAGTGTGATAAGTAAAAGTTGTTTATACAATATGGATGAAATATATAATTTAAAACTGATACGAAAGCAAAGCTATTTTCTTATCTAAATGGTTGGTTAATGATCTAAATAAACTCATGATGTCATAATTGAATAATAAATATTTAAAAAAAGATACAACACAAAAAATGAAGAACTACAAAATTTTGTTAAAAACATTTGGGAACATTTCTAATGTTATATATTCATCATATTAAATGAGAATAATTGTTGAAATAAAATTATTTTTATTTATGACAAAAATGAATTGCAATTTTAATAATAATAATAATAATAATAATAATAATAATAATAATAATAATAATAATAATAATAATAATAATTGTAATTGTAATCTTAATTGAAAATTTCCACGTGTGATACACGTGCACATTTACTACAATCATTTAAGTTTATTTTTAATTATATTGTTTCTTTTATTCATTTTTAATTTCTATCTTAACTATAATATATCTAAAATTCAAGTAATTAATATGAAGAAAAATTTCTCATGTGCAACACACGTGCTTAATTACTAGTATTACAATACAACACAATTCATATTATAAATAATATTTTATACTATTAATTGATTTATACATATATTATTTGTTAGGGTTCGACTATGATGTTGGAATATCTTGTAATCAATCAATAAGTATCATAAAAGTAGTAACCAATCAGGTGACATTTATCAAAATTCACAGCGAGCTTTGATTGGCCAAAGTTCTTTTGGTATCATGTCGTTTTAGCAACATATTTGTTATATTAACTTGGGGGCTAGACTATAACCCTTACTATAGGTGCTCAGCCTAGCACAACCAGTATAGGCCCATGATCCCCCCTACCAAAATTCGGGGTTTTCCACAATATGAATGGTTTTCTTTTCTAAAAGAAAAACAATTGCTTAAAATATTTTATTTTTGTTTTAAAAATAAGAAAACCATTTACATTGTGGAAAGCCCCTTTAAAGTATTATTGTCAAGCACTTGAACTCTTAGATAAGAATCACAACCATTCATTTTCCTACCTTTGGTTGTTTTCAAAATAGTGGAGTAAATGGTTTTGGGCAAATGACTCACTTATCCAAGTTCACTGTAAGAATTTCTTAGTTTTCAAATAACTAGCTAACTACAAGACCTCCTCCATTTTGCATAACCAGGGTAAGGCGTTTCCCCAAGCAAGTGACTCCTAGGAAGCATTACTCAGGTAATCACAACATTGGACTTGGCCAAGGATTACTCAAATAAGAAAATTGGTGTTTTTGGCGGGTGGATAAATAACTTACCCATATTGATTACCCAATAATACTCTTTGAAATTATTATGGGCCCCATTATAACAGTGGCCAAACATGGGATTATTGTATTTCTATGGGACCAATCTACTTACTCCCTTCCCCCATTTTTACTGCAAAACTAACGGGACATAAGGCTTAGTTTGTTTTTGGGGTAATCATTTATTTGGGCAAATGTTTCCTTGTAAAATACTTGGATAAGTGCACTTACTAGCGTTTTCCTTTTTTTTTATTTTTTTATTTCTCAGGAGGTAAATTAAACAATAACCTTTTTACCTTTTTATTCATTTTCGATAATATTTACTTAATTAGGTACTTGAACCATTCAGAAATCGTTCTTTTGATAATTCCACACAAATTTTGTAAACTACGGTGATGGATAAGACCCAATACAACTACAATTTCAACCAGGGACCAGGTTGGATCCGGGTCAAGTCCATGCATAACAGCTTAAGTCTGTCAATATCTCGCCCAATTCTGAAATTCGGTCTGATATGGATCTCAGATATCAAATGAGGACCGCACAGGGGAGAGCCTTTTAGCACGTGACAAGGTGTTTACATCCGAATTTATCCGAACTTCCTGAAAAAAAAAACTCTTTTTGAAGTCATCTTTGGTACGACAAAAATGACTCTTACATTAAGATATTTTTACAGAAAAATAGCATCACGGTCAGGATGGCCGAGTGGTCTAAGGCGCCAGACTCAAGTTCTGGTCCTCGAGAGAGGGCGTGGGTTCAAATCCCACTTCTGACAAGATTCTATTTTTTTTATGATAAACCTTTTAGGCCAAGTTTGGGAAGAGTGAAAAAACCCTAATCATTCATTTTAATTATATTTTATGGGAGAGTGGTTACATTCATAAAGAAACTGAATTGGCTGTCACCTAGTTTAAATGGTTTATTTTGCCAAAAAAAAGTTTTTTTTTTATGGCAAAGTTTCCAGCTCTTTATGTTCTAAGTTCTAACCCGATTATTTAATTAATAATATATAAAGATCTCCTGTTTACTTTTTTGTATTTTTTATAGTATTTTATTTGAATTAGAAAATTATATGAGAAAGATTAATATGTGTTCCAGGCTTCCATCTTTTGAAATGGGTAATTGTATGTTTAAAGTTAGAGTTTTTTTTTTTTTTTTTTTCTCTAGAGTGGAGTTAACTATTCTCACTTTTTTGAGAGTGGATAAGCATGTATTTAAGGAAAACAAATACTTCTATTTGAGAGTAGAAAAAAATTCTTTGAATGCTCTTTCTTGGGAAGATATGGTGCCATTTCTCTGAAGTAGAAGTTTTCTAGCCGAAGGGCTTTTCTTTAGTATGTATACTAGAAAATGATCCCATAAAAAGTATTATTAATTTGACACCCATTATCTTTGTTGCAAATTTAGGTTAACTTTTATGTTTGATTTTTGATTTTTTGGTAAAGATTTTTTTATAGATAAGTTTTTTATTTGATTTAAGATATTAAATCAGGTTTTATTTGTAACTAATAACCCATTTTATCTAGAAGAATGAGTTTCACACCATTTATAATTTGGTTTGAGATTTAGGCTGCATTTGGATGTGATGTAAACCAAGAATTGATGTAAATTTTACATCGGTTTGGTTTTGTATGCATTTGGAAAGAGGGTATAATTATTACCGATGTAAAACTACACTTCAGTTCAATTTTGCATGTGTCTGGATGGAGTGTAGTTTTACGTCGATAATCAATGTAAAACCTCATCAATTCTATAGTTTTAATCGATAATCGATGTAAAAACTATATCGATTTTATCGTTGTAAAATTTACACTCTTCCACCCATCACTATTTTCAAAAAAGCAACGGTCACTTTCTAGTTCAATGTAAAACGTCATCAGTGTATTTGACATTTTACACTGATTCCAAACACAACCTTTTTACTTATGTTTACGTGGTAAGTTTGATTTGGATTTCTTATTTAATTTAGCACATTAAATTAGGTTTAATTTGTAATTGATGATCTATTTCATTTAACAGAATGAGTCTTCTATTTTAATTAGGAAGGTTAGTTACAAAGGCTAGTATAGAACCATGTCATTTGAAGTGGTGAGTTTTATTTTGATGGGTAGCCATATAAATATTTCAAATGAACTTTTGAGAATAGAGGTTTTCTTTTTTTTTTTTGTGAGTGGAATCACCCACTTCTTAGATGCTCTTTCTTCATAAGATAGGTTGCCATTTGTCACTTGCTTGAAGGAAAAGCCCTTTGATGCATGCATGTGTGTGTAAAGTGTGTTAACATACCAAGAACATGTCATCTTGTTGCATATTGGGAACATCTCCTATGCATTTAAAATTCATGGGGAGATGCTCTTATGCAATTGGATGAAGTGCTTTTAGCATGTTTACATACTTTTTGCTTTTAGCTCATATAGAATAGATGGGGGTGAGGGAGAGGATAAGTGTAGATTTATGTACCTTGTCACATTTTAACTTCATTTCTTCTACATAAAACTAGCAACAAAGAGAAAATGCTTTTTTACCCTAAATTGAGACAATTAAGGTCCTCATTTTTCCCCATTTCCCCTTTTAACTAAAGTATTAGATGAGGTGGTGAGGCCGATGACTTACAAAGACAAAGTCAGAGGCCCGAAGGTGGTTCCCCGGGGAGGAGCACTCCGACGCTTAAATCTGTAAGCGAGAGAGGAGATTGGTCAGGCTAAGTTGTTGTTGAGGACAAGCGGGTCATAGGGTAGAAGAGTTGAAGAGAGAGAGCAAGGGCGCAAGAGAGATAAAATGTTAGAGTGGGAGAAGGAAGCCATACCTTTATGCGGAGAGTCCTCGCTTTTTGGGACATGTGCCATGCGCTGGGGCATCCTTCACCTGAGTTCTCAGGGCAATTCTGTTCTCCTCGTTGTGGAAGGCTGTAGAGGATTCATCATCTGCCACATTCCCCTCATCCGGATTTTCTACCAACCCCATTCTACTGCTAATTCAATGACTTGGTGACAGTTGTTCCATTTTTATGTGACCTCATTATTACTGCAACAATTTACACGTGAGATATCTTCCCCTCCCACCCCCTTCTAGTGCTACTGCAACTTCTACAATAAAAAGAAAGAAAAAAATAAAAATAAAAATACAATCCTGCACAAAAACAACGACCAAGGCAACCGAACCACTCCCTCCTATGTCGCCTTCACTGATACACAGAGACTGATCGGTGATGCAGCGAAGAACCAAGTGGCCCTGAACCCAGCCAATACCGTCTTCGACGCTAAGCGGCGATTCTCTGATCCGTCTGTCCAGTGCGACATGAAACTCTGGCCCTTCAAGATTATTGCAGGACCCGGCGACAAGCCCATGATCGTCGTTCACTACAAAGGCGAAGAGAAACGCTTCTCTGCCGAAGAGATCTCGTCCATGGTGTTGACTAAGATGAAGGAATATGCAGAAGCGTTTCTGGGTCATGCAATCAAGAATGCGGTCATCACTGTACCGGCGTACTTCAATGATTCGTAGAGGCAGCCATCACTAAGAAGGACAACATTTCATTAAGAAATTTGGAAAATCCTACTTGCAGACATAAATCATCAAATAAAAATGATCACCAATTCACTAATTCAGATTGCTTCCTAGTGAAATGAGTGCAATCGGATTTCATAAATGAAACCCAATGTGTCAAAATTATAATACCATAATCAATTTCAAACTTATAATTGTTAAAATTTGCATTCATCAGTACTATTGTTACTGTTCAACTTAAAACAAAAAAAAAAGAAAGAAATCATAGGTTTTTGATTGTCAATAGTTCTAACTTCTAAGTATATGTTTGGCATGATGCTACAGATATAACATCTGAATTGTTTTATTAACATGAAATTAATAAAATAAAAAATTCAAAAAAAAAGAAAATTTTTAGACTTTCTTGTTTTAATATATATATATATATTAGCAAGGACCCGTGCAATGCACGAGATTTTATTAAGTCAAAGATAAACAATAGAAACATGTAAGAGTATACGATTGTTTTATATAATAATTAATAATCATTTATATTTTATATACTATTTTTAATAATTTTTTACAATACAAAAATAACAATAATTAATTTTAGGTAGGGTTGTTTATTAAACTTAGGGATAACAATTTTCCCCATTTCCCTGATCCCATGGGGATCTACCCAGAATGGGGCAAGGATGGGGATAATTTCCCCCTTGCAAGGACGGAGATGGAGAAAATTTCATCCCCATTGGTGGGGACGGTGCGGGGATAGGGGGAGCACTCCCTGCCCCGCATGGACCCCAATCCCCACTAATATATATGTATATACATATACGTTTATATATGTATATATGTACACATATGTTTATATGTTAATATTTTTAAAAATATGGTTGAATATGTTTGAATCTTTTCTAATAGGATTGTAAATCTTAATTATTTTATTTTTTATTTTTTAAATAAAATAAAAAACATAATGGTTGACATTATAAAGAATCATGGGGAGTGGGGATCCCCATGGAGATGGGGATGGGGAGAAGCTCCTTGTCCCCGACCCACCTTGCTGCCATTCTGAATCAAACTAATGAAACTGACCAATCCAATTTTTAGTATTTCCAGTTGGCTTTGGTTCAACAATTTTCCAACCTAACTGGGATGGACTACTTCACTTTGGCAATTTGTAAACTGACTAAAACGAACGACCCGACCATATATATATTAATATTTTATATTTTAAATATATGTTTTTAATACAGGAAAATGAGAAAATTCCAATATTTCTTAGGCTAAAATAGTTTATATCATAAATTTAAATTTTAAACTTATTTTTTTTAATAATACCATTGTAATTCTTTTTTTCTAATTTAAACTTAATTTCTTAAGTTTAAATCTTTTGAACCGACCGATCAAACAAAAAATTTACCCAAACCAATATAACTTGAGTGGCCAGCCCCCCAACCTAACCAGGTCGATTTGGTTGGCCAAACAAAATTGAACCAAACCAACCTGTGAACAATAGTTTAATTTCCAATAATTATTAAAAATTTATAGCAAAATACACAATAAATTAAATTTAAAAAGCTAAATAATAGTAATTTAATTAAACCTCAATAATTATTGAAAATTTTCTATTAAATAATAAAACAAAAATAGATTTATACAGAACTATTGAAAATATATTTATCATAAAAACAATAATTAATTACCAAAATACAATAAATATTAATTTTACTATAGATAAATATATAATAAATAAAGACTAAGTTTTTAAAATTATTATTAATAAACAATAATTTTTTGAAAGTTATTTTTTAGAATTATTAATTGGTATAAATGAAATTAGTTATTTACAATATTAAGTTTTTTATTTAAATAATATCATTATTTAAATTTTAAAATATTAATTACTTGTTGAATTTAATAATCCATAAAATTATAGTACTATTAATACATAATTTTGTTTTTTTAACTATTTAAAATCTAGTTATGTCAAGTATTTCGTTATTTCAAATACTTAGTTATTTAACTAAATATTTATAATCTTAATCTATTTATTATAATATAAAGTTATTCAGTAACTATTTAAAATATATTATTAATTGATTTAAAATATTAATTTTAATATTTTGTTATTTATGATATTTAGCTATTGAAATATTTAAATAATATTTCATTTTTAATGTTAGATTTTTATTATTTGAATAACATTTTGACTGAATAATCCAAAAAATCATAATTTATATTGTTTGAACATAATTTCGTGATGAATTTTGTAAAAAATATAATTTTTAATAATATAAATATTATTAAATCGATTATAATTATTTTTTGTCTTTTTAATAAATATTTTAAAGCTATTATATAATTTTGTTAGAATATTTAAATAATTGTTAAATTATTTAATTCAAACTTTCTTTAGATAGATGTAGATAAAAAGTCGGTGAGAAGTAAATAAGAATTATAGATAATTAATTATGAGAAAAACTCAAAGTTGGGGATAGTGGAGAAGGTTGTTTAGGAGAAATTTTAAGATATTAGATTATTTAGGTTATTAGAGAGAGAGAGAGAGATTTTAAGAAGATATTTTTTTGGGGAAAGTATTACTTTTAATTGATAGTTTCGAAAATGACATGGATTTAAAAAATTAAAAAATTAAAAAAAAGAATAAAATTTCTAGACTTCCTTATTTAGGTGTTAAGGAGGATAAGAAAAAACTTTTTTTTTTCTAGATTTACCCACACATGTTTTATGGGAGAAAGTAGGATTTTGTGCTACCTAGCAATGGGGTGAGAGGACCTCTCGCCTCCCACACTCCTCTATATATTATAGACACAGAGGATTGCTAGTTTGTTACCATTGCTTACGAAGAAGGAAATGGATATGAACTGTATCCCTCCATGGTGAGATGGGTGGGCTGGGCATATATGATGGTGGAAAAGTATTTTGTCGATTCCATCCCACCCAGCAAGGTTTCTGACACCTGGCACTTACACCCTTCTTGAACTGTAAATGGAAGTGGCAAAATTAAAAAATATCCATAACTGAGGTTGATCTATAGTCCCTTTTTCAAAATTGCCTCTCTCTCTCTCTCCTCTTCCTCTTTCTCTCTCCTTCCACTTCTCCATTGCTGCAACCAATCCGAAAACAGAGGCACTATCCTCCCTTTCTCTCTCAAGTAATTGTTCAAGGGTAAAGTTTAAGCTGGTAGAGGGTAGATGGGCCTTCCCGATATACTCCTACAGAGGTATTTCGGGTTAGACAGTGGTTCAGAGGGTAGATGGACCTTAAATCGATCCCTCTAAACTAGATTAGAAAAAACAATAATAGAGAAAAATTCATCAAAATCGGCCTATATTGATATCTTGAACCTTGGGTCCCTGAATAGGTTTTTATTTTCTAACATGAAGTGTGGACAAACACAGGCCCACCCACCCATTCCTTGTCCTTAAATAGGTTTCTATTCTCTAACGTGAAGTATGGAGAAGCACAGGCCCACCCAATCATTCCTTGTCCCTGAATAGGTTTTTATTCTCTAACACATTCTTTTCCTCCTATATTAAATAAACAGTTTTACTAAATCATGTATTTGATATAAACTAAATATCAACTTGTAGCTATTATCCTGTCGGTATTTTTAATTAATTGTTAGCAAGGTTCAAAAGCCCGAATAAGCATATCGAGCAGTATAGATATTTTTTTTGTTTTTTTTTTTTTTCAAATCAAGTTCAGAGGGGCCGATTTAAGCTCTATCCACTCCCTGAACCGGTCAAAATCTCAAAAAACCACCTGAAGAGGCATATAAAAAAGCCCCCGATACGATACATATCAGGCCGATACGTATCGAAATTCCAACCTCGATTGTTAGATATTTCCTTTAATGGAGGCAAAGAAATTCAATTTCTTGTAATGATATCTTATATATGATTTGTACACCATAACCAGAGCATGCGACAAGCCAACTTCAGTTACGCTTTAGTTTCCATTAATGGGTACTTGTACTTAAAAGAACGAAAGAACTTATCGTACGTGACTTGAACACAAGTCTGAACTGAATAAATCACATGAATCAAGAACCGTGGGGGACTTGTCCTCTTGTCAGTGGTAACATTTCTCATCTTATTTTATTATTAATTTATTTGTTTTGTGGGGACAGTAGTTGTTTTAATTTTTTTCTGAAGTTATTTGTCAATTTCTGAGTGACCGAATTCTTCTTCATTGTTCAGCTTGCCTGCCACGTTTTTTTTTTTTTAATGCTATGTTTGATTTGAAGAAAAAAAGTAGGGCAAACAAATGCTTAAAAATATCAAACAAAACGGAAAGTGTAAGTTACATCATGCGCCTTTCTGTCCATTTCTTTGTTGAATTTGATTAATAGTAAACTTCAGATAGTAGAACTTTGACTTGGATATCTTTTTTGTCTACTTCTCTTTTGTTTATTACACTAAGGCATGTGGCAGTTTGACCATGTATTGTTTTAATCTTAGAGTCAACTCTATCGTCATTTGTTGATTTTTTTTTCTTTTTTTTTTTTATTATAACCAAACAAGTATTAATGTTTTTTTTTTTCTTATGCATAATCAACTTCTAACACGTGGTTTATGTCTCTCTATGGTTGAAAATTGGAACATAGTGCAGATTTTAGTTCTTTCTAGAGTTGAGTTTCATCAACACTCCCCTCTAATTGATGTTCATGGATAAGCCCATATTGTTTGTTTAAGTATAAAGTATAAAAAAGTAGTATTTTCCTTTGAACCTCATATATCATGAGTTATTTTTCTTCACAATTTCAGATATATATTTTTAAAATGTATCTACCATATTCTTAATAGTAGAAGATTGGTTAGTTTTCTTCACAATTTCAGATTTATATTTTTAAAATGTAGCCGATTACCTAGGATGAAGTTTTCAAATTTATACATTCATTGTCCTTTCTTTGGGTCCATGAAATGTGTTGTCATGGGGGTAGCCCATCCACCAACCAACCCTTGTGCAGATCCCAAGCTTTGATACAAGCATCA